GCACAACAATGTGAATGTACTTAATGCTACTGAATTGTACACTAAAAATGTTAAAATGTTGAGTTTCATGTTATATATATTTGACCACAATAAAAGTAAAAATGTTTGTCCAGGTGTATGCCTAGGATTAGTGCCACCTTTTACCTACATACATTGTTTCCGGCAGAAAAAATTTACTCTAAAAATGTACTTCACTTAATTTTATATTTAAACTTGTTTTAGGAAGCTGCTTAGAAAAACCTTTCTTGCTAGGTCTTTTAGTCCTGCAGGCCTCTGGAAAACTGTTTTTATCCCAGTGCATGGAAACTAGGACAAGGTGGAGGGTAAGGGAGGTTCATGGATCCAAGTTCAAGAACAGCAATATAAACAGAACGAGGAAATTAGCTGTTTGTAAGTTATCAGCATAAGCTACCTTATAATGCGTGTGCTGTTTAGGCAGGTGACACTTTTTTTAGAAGACACTCTTAGCATTATGTTGGCAATATGTCAAGGAGGACATGGGGGGCTGTGGCCACAGGACATCTCAGGCCACTGTGTCTGCTGATCTGACAGAGATTCTAATAGTAAAAAACGAAAAAGTAAACATATCACCAATGTAATGTTGTGATATAATTTTAAAGGTATTCCATGAGCAAGGGGACCAGAAGCACTGTGATCTCCTCACACCCTTATCTGCTGTCTTCATTCTTGCTTTACGCTGGTATTTGCCACACACAACCTGCCTGGTGAGCTTCATTGTTTCTGTCAAGGGAGGTGCAAAAGAGTTTTCTAGACTCTGGACAGCTCTCTTATCTAAATTGTCACTGGCAGACTTTATCACCCTCACACAAGTGGCTGTTCTGGCAGGGTGGCCCAGCTGTTTACAGACACTCTGATGCGGGGGTGGGGGCTGAGGGACAGTGCCAGGAGAGGGTGTGCTATCCCTGCTGAGGATGTGCCGGCACTACAGCAGGAGTGCAGCTCCGAGATGATGAGGGCAGGAAGGTCTGAAACTTCCACTTAGCCCTGCTGCAGACTTTGATGATGAGCAGGGCACCGCCTCAGCAGCGCCTCTATGATAACTGTTCGCCTCTCCTCTCTCTGGCCCACAATTGCTCGTCCCGCTGGTCATGGGTTTAGTGGCTTCATCTGAGGCCATGCAGCCCATCCAGGGTCCGCAGTGCAGGGGTGTCTTGTGTGACACAGTCTTGAGACTGACCCTGAGGGCCCTTCTCCAGAGGGAAACAAACCAGAGTCATTACACATTGTTCTTCCCAGCCCAGGCACCCGGCACCTCCCAGCCCTCCCCAAGCTATAAAAAGGCAAGAAGCAACTGCAGCTGCTGACATGGAATCACCTAGAAATCTTACCTTCAGGGAGACAGCCTGTTAGTTAAGGGGGAGAGAGAGTGTATGGTTACCAGAAGATAGTGAGAAGACAGTGTGATTTATGGGTCTAATGCTTTGCTCCTTTTGAATTCCTTTTGAATAATGCGATTGCTACTGTTTCTCTGTTCCTAGTTGGCAGTTCAACTGAGGATCAATTACTCCTTGTCTATATCAGGGAAATGAAAGTAAGTGCAACAATCTAGGAATCTAGTCACGAAGAGTCCTTTTCCCCACACAGTCAACCAAGGAAGAATTCTGACATGTGTCTTTAATAAAATGTAAACATGATTTCTTTAGCACCCCATTTCAAAGCAAAGAAACACAAGTAATGAAAATGCTAAAAGTAAAAAGCTCTGAGGTTCTATATCCTCATCAAAGGCAGAATAAAGTAAACAAAGGCCCTCCGAGGGAATCCTTTCTCCATCATAGAATTTATGAGCAGCCAGATGCCATGTTCTTTGACAACTGTTCTCAATGGCATTTCCTTCTGGGGTCTTTGTCTCTTCCAGGAATGCCAATCATTTCACTCATCCTACTTTTAGACCTAGGAGACTAGAGAATGTGGGTGAAGGATGCTTCTTAGTTCAAAAAGGGCCTTCATACCTGGAAGGTAAGCTGCTTTCATACAGCTTTACAATAAGTTGGGAAATAAATTGAGGATTCCTGATTTTGCAGCTGATTTATCTCCAGCGCCAAATGTTACTAAATATTTACACAAGAATGGTTGATAGCAGGTGTACAGGAAGTGATAAGTTCAGGATGAAGCCAGAGCCAAGATGAACTCTGCAGAGCTGATAGACCCTGTGTAGCACAGAAGCAGAAGCATCACTGCCCGGGAGTGAGGTGCTGGGTCAGTCCTGGTTCTGCCAGTTGCCAGCTATGCCATCTGGACAGTTTACCTGTTTTGCCAGTTTACAATGAATTCAGTAATACCCACTCCACTCTTTAGTGTGATTATGTAAGAAGCAAATGCCACAGTGGACAGAAGAGTGGTTTGAAAACAATTCCATATGATGTGAATATAAAATATCAAAATCAACAAAACTCAGATCACCTCTAGAAGGCATTTGGGGGAAAACTGGTGAAAAAATTTTGAATATGGACTAGGTATTAGATCATACCATAGAATTATCTTTAATTTTCTCAGGTGTAATAATAAAATCCTCTATTTTTAGAGATGACACTGAAATACCTAGGAGTGAAATGATTTAGGGTCCAGTATTTTCTTTAAAATGCTTCAATGAAAAAAGGAAAAAGAGAAGTGTTTGGCAAAATGTTACTAACCACTGGAATTGGGGGAGAAGCATGTAGGGTCTTCCCATTACTTTGGCACATACTTGAATTTTTCAAAATAAAAATAATTTTTAAATTATGCAGAACTGCCTAGGACATTAGAATGCATCACTAATGGCCATTACAGAACAAAGACCATCTTGCTCCCGTCACCAGGCCCCTCTTACAAGGTCATTCGGAAGTCAGAGGACTTAGTCACAGTGAGAGATTAACAATAATTAAATAGAACAATAATAAGATACTAACAAAATGTAAGTGAATGTGGTCTCTCTTGCTCAATATTTTGTTCTATATATTTTTTCTCACCACAGCCGACCAGTGGCAACTGAAATCAGGGAAAGGGAAATAAAGGGTTACTGCAGAGGGACAGGATCTCCTGTCTGCCATGGTAAAATGTCAACCTGTATTGTCAGGTCTGTTTCATATTCCATTTTGCCACTTAAAACTTTTGACTTTAGACCAAGTCACTTTTTTTTTTTAAAGATTTTTTTATTTATTCATACAAGAGCTGGGGTATAGGCCAGAGATGCGGGGGGGTGGTGGGTGGGTGAGAGGATTCACCAGAGACAGAGCGGGGAGCAGAACAGGCAGACTGACTGAAATCCACTGCTGAGGGGAGCAGCGGGTGAGACAGGAGAGTTCTGCCATGCCATGTGTGTATCTCCCTGGCCAGCCAGGAATCAAACCCATGCTGCAGAGGCTGCAGAGGGCTTCACAGTGCTGCGCTCAACCAGCTGCGCCAAGGGAGAGGTCCTAGACCAAGTCACTTTTAACACAAAATCTCAGAGAGACAAACAGACGTGATCATAGACACACTAAGACACGAACCCCTTGGGTTGGTGGGGTGTGTGCCACTGGCCATGAGTTTGATGGTCATTCCAGGGACAGACACGATGGAGCAGGAAGGGGAACTGGACAAATCAGGGGAAGAGATGAATCATTTAGCTGAGGCAGGCTCCAGGGAGTCAGTCACTGACCAGGGAAATGAACACTTTGCCTTTGTCCCCATCTCTTACCACTAAATATACAATACACCGTAAATAACCAAACAATTTCACTAATGGTGACAAATGGGTTTCTGGGGTTCCAGGATACACTGGCAGTGGTGCAGGGGAGGGACTTGGAGTAAAGGATGTGGGTCTGCATCCTCACACCGACTAACCCAGTGGCCTGAGTTCCAGCACTTTCCCTCCTCAGCAAAAAGAAATAGCTGGATACTAAGATCTCGGTTCTGAGTTTAGAGGACGAAAATAGCTTGGGCCATGTTTCTGATTTCCATGCATGTTTTCTGCAGGACAGGACTGGAGGTTTTCTAGCCATATTAGTAGCTAAGTGCCCTGACCCCCCACCCCCTACCCCCTCTATTTTTTAGGTGGTATTTGTAGCTGCCAGTGGGGGGTGACAGAGAAGGAATCTCTGGTTTTCTTCTAATCGCTCTGTCCTGGCGCTCCGCCAGAGGGCCCTCGAATTTGAACGCGGGCGATGGGGCGATGCGGGGCAGAGCCCAGTGGCTAAGGCGCTTGCGTAAAGTCGCTGGCATCGAGGACAGGGCACCTACCAGCTCTGTGCTAGGATTAGCCCTACCCCGTGAGATGCGGCGTGCACCGGGAGCTACCCGGTGCCGGTTCTTTCCTACTCCACCACCTCTCGCTGATAAGAGCGAGAGGGTTTCCTAGTCCCAGAGGAGCCAGAACCACTTGGGAGTGAAAGCTTGGGGACCGCGCCTCTTCTCCCACCGGCCTCAGGGCGCTCCTGCGCCCGGTTGGGTCCCGCAGGCTAGGGAGAAAGCCCAGTTCAGGCAGTGGATGCCAGAGCTCCCGGACTCAACCCCATGGGTCTCCATCCTGAGTCTACACAGCCCTTCGCGCTGCACACCCCCACGGCTACAGCCGAGGGGACACTCCAACGTACCCCCAGCCCCCCGAGCGCTCCGCAGGCTCAAAAGCCAGAACTCCCTCCGCGCGCCGCTGGCCCCGCGCCGCATCTCCAACGCGCTTAGCGCGCACCGAGGCTCGCCAGGCTCTGGCCCGCTTGGCCGCAGGCGCCCTTGGCGAGCTGGGAAACCCGCGCCCCGCTCCCCCGGGCTTGGAGGCTGCAGCGCCTCGCCCGGCTCCGGCGAGTGGGGCTGGGTGGGTCCGCGCGAGTGGGGAGGGAGATGTGTGCGTGTCCTCGCACCTCTCTAAACGGGGAGCCTTCTCCGTGCGCGCCGCCGTGGTCCCGGGAACCCCAACCGCAGGCTGAGCGTCTGCCCCGCGGGGAGCCCGGGGACCCCGCGAAGACGCCGGTTTTCCCCGCGAATGGCGGTGGGGAGGGGGAGGCGCAGGGAGCGGGCGCTCTTACTTGGCAGCTGGGGTCCGCGGCGGCTTGGGGGGACTGGCTTTCCACGGCGGCGGGCCCCTCTTCGCGCCCCCAGCCCGAGCGGAGCCGGCGAGCCCACTTCTCCAGCCGTGGCAGAGAGCGAGCTCCAAGTTTAGGAAGCCACGGCTCAGCCGCTCCTTTACTGTTTCCCCGGTACTTTTAAGGGGAGTCCAACTGCAAACCCCTCCCCGGGCCCACCCCCTTCCCTGAAGGCCGCGGCCGCAGCAGGCCCGCCCCCCCGGGCACCTTTTGTTGTAATTCGAGAGCTGCGGCTCGCGCGCCCGGAGACCCTGCGGGGGCGGCTGCGCGCCGGCCTGGCCGCGCCCCTGACTCCTCGCGCCCAGGTTTCCTGAGCCCGAGAAGCTGGGGAGGGGGTTTTCCTCCGGGAGATTCCGCTACCCTGCACGCACCCTTCCCCGCCTCCAGCCCCCACCCCGCGCCGCTCCCAGAATTTAACCCTTCCATGAGCTCATGCAGAGAACCCGGCACCGGATTCTGGGGGGCACATAGTAGACGCTCAATAAAAACGGAGGCATGAAACAGCTGCAATCCTGACTTGCTCTCCCGGGTTTCCCTTCTCTTCCCTCTTCCAGAGAGAAAACATTGAGGTAATTATTCTAAGTGAAATAAATAAGTGAAATAACTCAAATTACAGGATGAGTTCAGTCATATGCGGAATAGAAACAACCAAAGAAATCAAACTGGCACAACAACAAAAATGACCTGGACGCTGGAAACTGCAGGGGTTACCAAAGGGGGGCTGAGGAGGGGACAGGGGGAGGGGAGGTGAAGCATGTGCACACATCGAGGTGTGAAGTTTTACTCCCCAAATTAAATCATTATGTAAACATATGGCAAATCGTAAAATTTGATTTTAAAAAATTATGAAGAGAACATGGTTACTTGAAAACAAGCAGCCCATTTCTGGGCTGTGGATCACTTCTACGACTTGGCAGACTTAAGCCTCACTCCTTTATGCGCATCTGTTTTCTTCTCTCTAAAGCTAAGGCTTTGGGGTCACTGACCCCTAAGGTTTGTTGTTCCCCCAGGGCAGAGCCAGAATGAACAAGCCCCAGATAAAGGGAACTAAACAGGACACAGCTAAGGGGAAGTACAGTGCGGACATTGAAGGTGATCCTTCTTGCTGGGTGCTCCACCCACTCCCTAGGAAACCCACAGCTCCAGCTGAGGTGGTGGCTCCCAGCTCACCCTCCAGCTCAGCATCTTTCCTCCCCATCCAGTTATCAATTAGGTGGCCTCCAGGACATCCCCTTTGGCTTTCTGGACAATCCCACAGCCACAGCTAACCTAACAAGCCCCAAATTTAGCATTACAACCCACTGCCCACTCCAACTCCCATGTAACAGAGTGGTCCCCAGGAAAAGGGGAGGGTGCCCCTCTCCCTGCCCTGTAACACTATGAGCTCCCAGGGGCAGAAATGAGGTTTTCTCAGGTGCCTCCCCCTTACCAGCCCCCACCGAATCAATGCCCTGGTCAGGTGGGTGGTGAAGGAAGGGGTAGGGGTGGCACCTTGCTGTGAAACTGTCTAGTATCTTGATTGTTGAGCATGTATGTTTCTGTACGACTGATAGAGTTGTATAGACTTGATACATCCACACAAGTAAAATAGGAGAAATCAGATCAAGATGAGCGGAATGTATCTATGTTGCAATCCTAGTTGTGAGCTTGTCCTATAGTTTTGCAAAATTCACTGTTGGGGAAAATAGAGCAAAGTGCACAGATCTCGCCGTAATCTTTTATTTTTGCAACTGCATATGACTCTACAACTAGCTCATTAAAAGTTTCAACAGGGAAAAAAAACTCAAACCCCACAGTGGCTCCAGGCCTTCATGGTGTACTCTGAAGCCCAGATGCAGGCCCTAGGGGCCCCCAGAGGCACTGCCAGTCTGCCCATCTCCCAGGCACATTCCCACCTGGCCCCCTTAGTCCATACTTGCTATTATCCACTCCTGCTGTTTCACACCCCAGAGCCTTTGAATATACCATTTCCTTGCCTTTTCCGTCTTGCAAGTTCTGGTTCTTAGACATCTCAGTTGGTTGTTGTGTCAACCCCCTACCCTGTGCCTGAGCTCAGTAAATGGTCAGGAAATAGCAGCAAAGCTGAGCCTCTCCCCCTCCCTTTCTCTGAGCCCTTTAAGTCCCACCCTTTCTGCTAAAGCATAAACCAATAAGGTATAAAATGAAGGAAATTAACTTTGTAAACGAGGTTTTATCTGATTATGAAAATACTACTTGTGAAAAATCCAGAAAATATAAAAAGTATGAAGAAACGTGTCACTCCGGTGTCCTATCACACGTCGGTAAACACTTAACATTTTTGGATTATATCCTCAGGGCTTTTTATAATCAAATTTTATAATTTAAAAAGTATATTTATAGAACTATGTATTTATAGAATTATGTAATTTCAGGAGTACAGCTTCACAACTTGACTTGTGCATAGGATTCACTCACCTACCACCAGAGCTTGCTTCAGGGTATTTTTAAAACCAAGTTGTAGATAGTTTTTGAATCCAGCTTTTTTTTTTTTTACTATGTTAGTTTGAGTGTACTTTTCAATGTACTTTTTAATAGTTTTACACTATTTCAGTGTCTCAAACACTCTATGCCTCTATTTTAGATATCAAGTTGTTTGCAACTTTTTACTAGTATGAATTATAGCATGACAGTGATCCTTGGAAAAGTAAAATTTATTGATCACCTACTATGATTCCTATTATATGACTCACTGTTACAGATAAGAAAACTGAGCCTCAGAGGGGCTAGGTAATTTCTCCAGCGACACAGAGCAGACAAGTGGTCAAGTTGGGGTAACTGAAGGGTACCTGCCCCCTCCTGCAAGTACCAAATGGCCACATCAGATGCTTAGTAAGTCCATCTGTGCCTCACTCCCAAGAGAAAATGAGTATTTGAGGCTTGCACAGAGTAATTTATTGGTGCAATTTTGTTGAATTGAACTGAAGACCCGAGAGAACATGCCAGGAGGGAAGGAGACCCCTGTTGTAGATTAAGCAAAATGATGACTATGTGCTTTCTGTTTGTAATTCCTTATGTGCCACCTCCTCTCCCCAGGATTCAGAGCACATTTCTGCAGTCACAATATAGGGGTTCAGGGCCTCCCCTGGTGGCGCAGCGGTTGAGCGCTGGGTTGCGAAGCTGCCCGCAGCCTCTGCAACGCTGTTTCGAGCCCCCAGGCGCTGGGGCACCAGGTAAGGGTCCCACATGGTGCACAGACCTCTCCTGCCACCCACTGCTCCCCTCAGCTGTGTACTTCGTCAGTCTGCCTGTTCTGCTCTCCACTCTAGCTCTGGTGAATTCTCTCACCCTCCCGTGCTTTTGACTATACCCAGTGCTTGTAAAAGTAAATAAATAAATCTTTAAAAAAAATAGGGTTTCAAGTTCTAACTCTACCACTTATTGCTTGAAGGCAACTCCCTGCCTCATTGGTAAGAAGCACCTCACTCAGAATGTTTCTGGAGGAGAAAAAGGGCCAAGTGCACACACGTGCCTAGAACAGTCCCAGCCATGTGTCTCTGTGCCGTAAACCTAGTGTTTGGCATCTGTTCCTGCTGTGCGCAAGGCTGCAGGGTGGAGGGCATTGTACAGCTGCTGACTGTCTGTGAGCCAGAGCTGCAGACCCCACGCAGCCAGATGGAGGCCAGGAGGCCATGGGAATTGCTTCCGTAGAGCACATTCCCAGGATATGACGACAGAGTCAAGGGTGTGGACTGTTCTCTCTCTTTCCTTTTTCTTGGCTCTTGAGTTTGATTGCCAAATCATTTTCCTAACAATCTGAGCATGTCCCAGAAAGCAGAGCGTCAGTGAAGACCCAGCAATGTCCTGGCCAGTCTTTGCTCCCATGCAGCACTTCCCAAGTGTCCAGAAATTGATAGACGCAAATTCACAAATAAAAACAAAGAAAGTTGGGAGACAGGCAGTAACTAGCACTATGGGAAAACTAGAGTGGAGTAAGATAGAAGGAGAAGGAAGCATTGGGCACTAGTAGTTATTTCACCCATGGTGGCCTGGAAGCTCCATCAGACAGACAAAGTTGCACAGGCAAAGGCTGGGAGGAGGAACCATGAAGGCATTGGGGGTGGAAGACCCTCATCTCCCCTTCTCCCAACATAAACACAGCAATTTACTTGTTTCACTCCTGAGCTATGATATGGATCACTTTTTTCTTGTGTTACAGGTATTGCCATATTCTGCGCATCTCCTTTATAGGACTATCATACAGTCTTTATGCAGAGAAACCTGGAGCCTATCACTTTCATCTCTGTAGTCACCCTGGAAGCCAGCTATCTGCCTGATCCTATGGCCCGCCATCATGCTATTGAAGCGGAAATACTTGAAAGCCTGTAATTAAAGTAGAATTAATCTTAGTGGGTATTATTAATGATTACACATACTAACAAAAGGAGAAACTAGTTTAAATCCATAGAATTGAAGCGTCAACTTGCCTACTTGTTAAAGTAAAAGGGGGACAAACCTACACTCACTGAACAAACTCTGGGTCGGCCCAGTAGAAAAGGGTCTTGGAATGTGTGTGTGTTAAGGGGGTGGTGGTCTGCGTCTGGGGGAGGGGCTTGCGGTTAAAGAAGTCAAGTTGGTCGAATTCGTCATGTATTCTAGGTGTCCCGTGTTGGCCAGAGATCTGCCAGTCTACTATCAGTAATCAGGGCTTCTCCTTGTCAGGAATCTGCAGTGTTTTAGCACAACCACCTTTGAGGAGTGGGGACACGTTATAGAGAGAAGGGGGTCAAGTCAGATTTCCTCCTAGACGGCAGCACCGCCTAGTGGATCACGTCGCGCTTGCACTCCTCAGGGTCGAGTTGTGAAACCAACATTTCGAACCATCAAGAAATTTCCGAGAACGTTTGTGTTTATAGATAATGAACAGAAACCGAGAAAGCTGTCTATTAGACCGCAGTCCTCCGTGGGTAGCTGCAGCGCTGAGAGCAGAGCCAGATGAAAGTCTTTGAACCCCCAGGAGAGCCGCAAATCTGCTCAAAACACACAATTGTAAACTGCAGGTGTGTGTATGCAGGAAGAGGTTAGGATGCCTCCACCTTTTCTCCAGGAAACACCTGCTTCTGTATTTTTAAAGTATAACTCATTCATTTAATCTGTTTTCTAGGC